TTATGGGGTTTCCGGTGAATATTTCGAGGTGTTGCAAACGCGATGATATACACTCAGTATAATAGTGGAAGATATAAGAAATCATTATTTGCGATTTTCACAGATCCAAGACCCGTTTTTATTATACATCCCATACACTTTGCAACTTTATTACTTCAAATTTTTAATATTGGGGGATAAATAATAAAAAAAAAAAACATTTCCATCTGTTACTAGTTAAAGTTTTGCTGTCCGCCTAAAAACTCCATTTTAAACGAATGAGAGAATCCGCATTTATTCTACCTAAAAAATCTTGCCGGTACCTAATCGAAACTTTATATTGTCTCATTTTATTCTTGTTCTTAAAAAACAACAAAGAAACACCATTATGAGACCTCTTCAAAATCTGTGTCAAAGGTTTCATAACGTAGCATAAAAAACGCATAATTTACGTAAATGCCAGCGGACTGACTCCCTTACGTGCATATCACAATTTATGCCTGCACAGACAAAAGAACAGTTAGATGGCCAATGCTTTGTTTTGATGACCATAATGCAGTAGTGGTGGCCATATGGAAAGAACACCACCAACAACAAGAACAATATCTTAAGCTCATTAATATTCATAAAATGGGTAAAAAACAGTTATTTTGTAAAAAAAAAAACAACATTTAGAGGAGAGTGGGAGAACCCCCTCTCCACAAAATTACAATATTTTTTGTGATAAAAACAACACAAACAATCGAAACGTAGACGTAATGAGATGATAAACAGAGAAAATGAGTATGGAGGCTCCAACTAGAGAGAGATAGTGTTGGGAGACAGTAAAAAACTTTTACTAGCTTTCTTAATGGGGAGAAAGAATTTCGATTTTTCGATGTCGTCATCATGTGGGCCTTTTGTTGTTGTTGCTGCTAGTTTTTCATTGTTATTGTTTGGTTTTTGTTGGTGTTGTTCACTATGCCGACTCCACGACTGCATATGTGTAAAGCAGTTGTTGTTCGGTTCTATGTGCATGAGTGTGGAGTAGGGGGGCTTTTCCGTGTGGAGAACAATATGAACAACGACAACGAAGAAGAGAGTGAACAAAATAACGGTTGGAGCTCTGTTTGTGTCGTCGCGAAGAGACATCGCCAATCAACGAAACTAAACAAAGTTCTTAATGCAAGTTTTTTGGGGAGTGACTGGCGGACTGACTGACTGGTTTGCCCAAGTTAGTAGTTTATAACGGTTGTTTGCGTACAGACGTGCCGTAGACGTTGTAAGTTTTTTTAATGACAAAAAAAACGGAAAACCGAGTCGATTGAACTTTAATGAAAAGTGTAAACATTACACAAAAAGGGCCAGTTGTAAACGTAGAGAAGAAACGTAGAAAAGCGCATTAGAAAATTTCTCTTTTTTCGGCGGGGGATTATTTGCATTTCAGTGGTGCGGTGCTTTGCGTGCGTGTGAAGCTTTTTTTGTGTGCATTGTGGGGTTTTTTGGTGGAAAATACTACGCAAGCGAAAAACCAAAACAAAACAGAAGTATAAAAACATAAAATTCAAAGTGTATTCAACCTCAAAATGTATTATAAACGAATAATAAAGTGACGACATCAAATCGAATAAAAATGCCTTTAGAAGCCCACTACTCTGGACCTAAGGAACAAGAGGGTGATATTAGTCATTAGTTGCCGTGAATATAAAATTCATTTGTATGGATCTAATACATATCTTTTTAGCTGAATATGGCCAACATTTTGGAGAGATTTTTATCCTTGTGAAAACTCGAAATGTCAAATGCTACACATTTGCAAAATTTAGCTTGTGAGTCTCAGAATACCTGAATATAACCTGGAATAATATGTTAGAAGCCTTATAAGCTTGGATGTTTTTAAGAAAAAAAAAATTAGTCTTCTAGGTGATCTAAAGAATGGATTTTAAAATATCAAGGTCTGCGTATCGGCGAAGATTTTTTACATATATTTCAGAAGGTCTACTAGAAACCTAGGTTCGGATTTTTAAATATTTTTATAATATTTATTAGCTTGATAGCGGTAAATTTTTGTCAAGAATATTTTTAGAGAACAACAGGTCCTTAATGCTCGAATTTTCGTATAAATATTTATAAGAAAATAATAGACCCGTTAGACGTGGATTTTTTAAGAATATTTAGTTGTATGTTTTGGGTAAATATTTTTAGAATGAATATTAAACCTAAGGTCGTGGACATTTTAACGAATATTTTTGGCGTGCTATTTTTAAGAATATTTTTAAAAGGTCTCCTCAGCCTCTAGACCTGCATTTTTAAAGAGTATATTTAATAGGTTTGTTAGTATTCTAAGCGTGGATTTTTAATAGGTCTATTAGCTTTATACGCGTGGATTTTTACGGAATATTTTTAGAAGGCCTGTTCGGTATCTAGGGATGGATTTAAAGAAAAAAAATTGGAATGTCTTCTAATCCTTTAGGGGTGGTTTTTTAAAATAATTTTTTAAAAAGGTCTGCTAGGCATATAGGCCTGGAATTTTAATGAATATTTTTAGAAGTTCGCTTCACCACTATGCATTTTTTTTTTAAATATTTTAGAAGGTCTGCTAGGTCTCTAGGCGTTGATTTTTAAACAATATTTTTAGTAGATCTGTTGGCGTGGATTTTTAAGAACAAATTTTAATAGATCTGTTAGCATTCTAGGCGTGGATTTTTAAGGACAATTTTTAATAGGTCTTTTAGTCTTATAGGTTTGGATTTTTGAGGAATATTTTTAGATGGCCTGTTCGGCATCTAGGTGTAGATTTTTAGAAGTAGAATTGGTCCTTAGGGCCTCGAAATTTTAAAGAGGCGTGGATTTATTAAAGAATATTTTAGAAGAAAAATTATACCCTAAGGATTGGATTTTTAAATAATATTCTTAAAAGGAAAATTGGACCTTGAGGCATGGATTTTTTAATAAAAAATTTTATAAGGAAAAGAAAAAATCAAGACCTGGATTTCTTAAAGAAAATATTTGAAGGAAAATTAAACATCAACATCTCAAATTTTTAAAATACATTTTTAGAAAGTAGATTAGACCCCAAGACCATGATTATTTAAATAACAATTGTAGAAGGAAATTTAGACCTCAAGGCCTGGATTTTTTTAAGGCAATTTTAGAAGGAAAATTAGATTTCGGAGTTTTTAGAGAAATTTTTGGAAGGAAAATTAGACCTAAAGGCCTTAACATTTCTAATGAAAATTGTAGAAGGAAAATTAGACATCAATGCCAAATAGGCCTCAAGGCCTTGATTGTTAAAAAAAATTGTAGAAAGAAAATTAGGCCTGGTTTTTTAAGACAATTTTTTTATTTAAGGAAACATTTTAGAATGAAAATTAGACCTCAAGGCCTTGATGATTTAAATAAAATTGTAGAAAGAAAATTAGAAGGAACGTTAGACCTCGAGACGTAATTTTTTTAAAGACAATTATAGAAGGAAAAATAGACCTCAAAGCCTGGGTTAAAAAAATATTTTAAAAGCTAATTATACCACATAGCCTGGATTTTTTAAAGAAATTTTTAGAAGAAAAATGACACCTCAGTGCCTTGATTTTTTAAAGAAAATTAGCCCTCAAGGTCTGGATTTAAAAAAAAATAGAAGGAAAATTAAAACTCAAAACTTGGATTTTTTTAAAAAGAATTTTTGGAAGAAAAATCAAGGCCAGGAATTTTTAAGGACATTTTAAAAGAAAAAATGGCTGGATTTTTGTAAAGAATATATTAGAAGGAAAATGGCTGGATTTTTTTAAAGAATATTTCACAATCGCTAGGCGTGGATTTAAAAGAATATTTTTACGAGAATTATTAGACCTCTAGGACTGGATTTTTTAGAACGAATATTCGTCTTGAAAGCATTGATTTTAAAAATTATTTTTATATAATTTCTTTATTATTTTGAAGGTTTCAGTAGTATTTTCAATAGAATTGCCTAACTAAGCAGTTCGGGTTCTTGAAGGGTAAAAATAATGTTTAAAATGGGTTAATGTTTTCATATGATCTTCATTTAAGGGTCCCGACCAATATTTAGGAATTTGGGCAACTCAAAATGTATAAGGGGTCTCCATTTCATGGTGGAGAGTATGGCCGACCTGTTAAGAAAATAATGACGTTTTCACGTGTTAAGAAAAAACTTCCTCGGGGAAATTGTTCAATGCAGAGTTCTGGGAGTCCACCATAGCTTTATATAAAAGACTTCTTATAGAAGACTTAATCTTCTTAGAGAATACCTGTAAATCATGTTACAAAAGCCCTGTAGATATTTTCATACCAGACCAAAATATCGTCTTACAGGCCACAAAATGGACTACTTTTAGAAGATGAACAGGTCTCAAAAGATGCACAGGTATTCTAATTCTTCTTATAGAAATGGCTTCTTATGGAAGGTTAAAAATTTTTTCCATACATATCACCCATCCAAAGAAATCACCATATTTTGCCCAAAACATAACTTAGGTGTAAGTAAACTAATTTGCCAAAAACATCTTTTGACCTCTATACAAAGTCGCGCCCGTGTGTGTAGGTGGTGTGTGTAAAAAATACAAACAAATTTGCCGTTAAAAACATTGCCTCCGAACATAAAAATTAACTGTAACATAAACCTGGAAATTAAAACTAAACGCCCCAGAAACCAAAACAACAACAAAAAAACAAAAACCTAATTAAAACCCATTTAACTTACGATACGCTTTTTTGTGTGTTCTTTTATTTGTGTCTTTTTGCAGTTACCTGAAACGAAAATAAGAAGGAGAATAAAATTAAAAAAAATAATAATAATAAATAAAAAGTAAAAAAAAACAAAATCCACCAATTATGTGGCCTTTAATAAAAAATCCAGTTTTAAACAACAATAAAACTACAATTTTAAACAAATAGAAAATAAGATAACGAAGTGTTCTAATTTAATTCTAAGAAGAAGAAAAAAGTGATATTTTCTAACGAAAAAGAAAAGTGAAAACGAAACTAAAAAAATTACAACGAAGTAGCATTCGTGCCTTAAGAAAACCAATATGACGTCGAGGCGTCGACATCCTGCGATAAACCACAACAAAAACAACAACAGCATATGCCTTGGAAAACTCCCAACAATAGCTTTAAACTGCCTTTTACCACTGCTACTCCTGCTATCCTCTGTCAATACTTCCTTCGGCTATGCACAAAATAGCGAATTATACGAATCATCCGAGTTCCTAAGTGCCAATAGTCAATATGACGCCGACCCAGATTTTAGGGCAGACGACAATCAGTTGCATTTCATACCACCACCATTGCCCACCACATCAACACCCAAAGGGCGGGATCCGCAGCAACAGGAAACCATAGAGGAAAATGTATTGTCATTCTCCTATGATGACTCCAACACGCCATCGTTGATGTCATCAAACCCTGCGGCCAGTGATGTTGGAATGTCGTCTTCGTCGCCAAGCGCAACAACAACTTACACAGAACTAAGTGGTGGCAGTATAACCAGTGACCGGGTACTACGTGCCAGTGAAAGTCCTTATGCGGCACGTGAACACATCGTTGTGGAGAAGGGTGCCAAACTAATCATCGAACCGGGAGTTCGTATTGAATTTGCCCCCACTGTGGGTATTACAGTGCGTGGCATTCTTCATGCTGTGGTAAGTAGTCAGACAGACTGAATAGAATAGAGTTTTTGTGTAGTTTTTTGCTATTGTTGTTGTGTTATAATTCAATCAAAGCTTTTGCTTTCATACATTGTGAACGAAGTTACAATAGCATTGAGTTCGGCTTATAATGGAATGTAGACACTTATGTAAATTATGGGATATATGGGACATTCCATGCATAAATTATTTTTTTCTTAAATACCAAGACATAATTCAAAATCCTTGGTAGATCTGCAGTAAACGAGAAATCAAAGGGTAAATTTTTCTTCTAAAAATATTCGTTAAAAATCAGCGGCTCGAGGTATAATAATTCTTATAAAAAATATCCTTCAAAAAATATTCTTAAAATATTTATGTCATAACTCCTTCCTAAAATATTCTTCAAAAAATCCAATGCTAGAGGACCAAAAGGGCCTACACAAATTTTCTATAAAAATCCAAGCCAAAGACCCCTGAATTTTTTTCTTAAAAAATCTACAAAACTACTTAACAAATAATTTTAAAAATTCTACGCATAGAGAGCTAAAAATCCTTAAAAAATAATTTAAAAAATCGACGCTTAGAGGGCCCTAAATGTCCAAAATTCCTTCCAAAAATATTCTTAAAGAATTCAAACCAAAAGGGCCAATATTCCTCCAAAAATTACTTTTAAAAAATCCATGCTTAGGGCCCAGAATTTCTTAAAAAATATGGTCACAAAATCTTCCTATGAAAAAATCCAATTCCCAGAAGGCCAAGAGTGCGCCCAAAGAATGTTTTAAAAATATTTTTATATTTTTTAAAATTTTATTTTTTAAAAATTGTTATGAAGCCCATCCTATAAGGCCTTATATTTTAGAAAATCCACGCCTATAAGGCCTTATATCCGTCTAAAAATATTTTAAAAAATCCACGCCTATAGGGCCTTATATCCGTCCAAAAATATATAAAAATATATAATATCCACGCCGGACCCAGATATCTTTCTTAAAAACGCCTATATGGCCTTATTTCCGTCCAAAAATATTTTAAAAAATTCACATTAAAAAAAACAAAGCCTATAGGTCTCAAATGCGTCCAAAAATATTTAAAAGAATCCATGCATAGAGGGCCTCAAAACCGTCCAAAAATATTAAAAAAAATCAACGCCTAGAGGCCTCAAAACCAAGCATTCCTCGCCTATAGGGCCTCGAATCGCTCCACAGCCTGTAAAAAATCCTCGTCTATAGAGCCTCAAATCGCTCCAAAGCGTGTAAAAAATCCTCGTCTATAGGGCCTCAAATCGCTCCAAAGCATTTAAAAAATCCTCGCCTATAGGGCCTCAAATCGCTCCAAAGCATCTAAAAAAATCCACTCTATAGGTTCTCAAAAAAATCCACGCCTATAGAGCCTTAAATACGTCCAAAAATATTTAAAAAAATACACGCTTATAGGGCATCAGATCCGTCGAAAAATATTATAAAAGAACTCACGCTAAGATGGCCAAAAGTTCTCGAATAATATTGTTAAAAAAATTCAAGTTTAGCAGTGAAATAATTTTTCTAAAAATATTTATTTAAAAAATGCTCTTCTAGACCTTCAAAAATATACACGCCTTGAGGGTCAAAATTCCTTTGAAAAATATTTTAATAAAATCGACACCCAATTGAGCCGATCGTCCTTATAAAGGAAGCTAAAAACACTTCTACAAAAAGTCTTACGCCTAGAGGGTTAATAGAACCCCTCTTGGTCTTCTGTAGGGACAACCTCTTCGTCTTCTGAAGAATAATACATCCTAGCCAAACACAATTCTGAACTCTTGATAAGGTCATCTAACCTTGACCCACTCTATAGCTCCCCTTAACAACACACCCCTCAAAAAATAACAACCTGTTTCAAAACAAAAATTCAATTCTAACCCTTTGCTGCACACATGTGCAGATCAAACCAAACAGGTAATACATTTTGTTATCGGCATTATAGTGCTTGACATTATCACAACATCGATACACACAAATAAACAAACAAATAGGAGATTGCAAAAGTAAAGCACGTCAGCTGATAAGCTTTTAGGAGGGACAACACATTTTTGATAAGCGTGGAATCCCTAAGCAGTGAACAGAAAACAGGTGAATATTCACCAAGGGGAAGTGAAATGCAAAACAACAACAACTGCAGCAGTGATTTGTTGTTGTTGATTTATCATGATCGAGGGGTATAAACAAACGTATTTTCTTGTTGTTATTGTTTTTGTTGAAATAAGTTACGCCAGCATACGAAATGAAATATGAAACTGAAAAAAATGATTCATTCATTCATTCCATCACTCGACGTTACGGGAGAACTTCGAAATGTAGAAATGAGTAATTGTGTCAAGCTGCTATTAGGGTCGTTAGCAGCCAGATTACATCAAGATAATGTTAAACATATGGGAATAGATCTGAGGAAAATGAAACATTTGTAGTTAAATTGTATGGCTAATTAATTATTGCAGATGATGGGTTTGTATTTAGACTAGGTTTTTAACTTTTTCTTTTTTATAAAATCGACCATGAAATGGGAATGGGAACATGGTAAATATCATAACGAGAAGGTCGGAGGATTTTTTCTATAAAAAAATGGGCACTTATTGGTCTGTTATTTTTTTGGTCTGTGGATTTTTTTGTAGACGAAAAACTTTGAAGAAGTTTTAGAAGATTTGTTTTAATGACTTCTGGCCCACTGTGCTAGTCTTTTTATGAAGCAATTCCGAACCTCTATGATTTTTAAAGATTATTTTTACAAGAATTATTAGACGTCTAGTCGTCCATTTTTTAAAGAATATTTTTACAAGAATTATGAGAATAATTTGCAAAAATAATACCTCAGGCCCCTGAGAATTTTTTTTTTCTACAGAAAAAAATCCTCGGCACCTTTCATTTTCTTCTTTCTTTTTTCTGTAGAAAAAAATTCTTCGGAAACCTGAAGTTTTTTCTATAGGCCCTGCGGATTCTGTTTTCTATAGAAAAAAATCGTGACCCAGAGAAGTATTTTTTCTATAGTAAAAAATTCCTCAGAACCCACAGACTGGGCTGAGGTATTTTGAAAAAAATGATCCTCAGACTTCCTCGGAACCCTGAGGATTCTTTTTTTGTTTTGAAAAAATCCTTAGAACCCTGGGGATTCTTTCTTCTATAGAAAAAATCCTCGGGAACCTGAATATTTTTTTCTATGGACCCTGAGGATTATTTTTTCTTAGAAAAAAATTCTCGAGACCCTCAGAAAAAAGGATCCTCAGACTTGGCTGAGCATTCAGGCCTCCGCCTGAATAACTATAAAAAAATAATCTCTAGGTAGGCTGAGGAATTTTTGCTTCTGTAGAAAAAATAATTCACAAGGGACCTGAGGATTTTTTTTTTATAGAACAAAATAATCCGCAAGAGAGTGTTGACGAAAAAGTGCTATGCTAAACGTCATTACGGGTCTTAGCTGTCTATTTAACCCCTAAATATAAAATTAACCTATTTTAACCTCTGCGAACTTCTACCCACCCCAATACATCCATTATAAAAAACCTACCACATTCCTTAGCTTCTTTATTTCCCTCTCTCCACATTCATCATTGGTTTATCTATGATTTGAATGTGAATAAAAAATGTCTATTAAGTGGAAGCAGATATAATGAAGTTATTAATTCTGCGGAACTAATTGTGGACCGGACGACAGCAAAACTACTGAAGATGACACATGTGAACTATGCTGATAAGAAGGCGACAAGTGTGTCTAGTTGCCCAGCTAAGCTAAGTAGTCAGTTAGCTTACAATTTGCCGATCTGAAGATCTTTTTTTTTCTCCATAAACAAATGACGGGCAGAGAAGAAGTGTGACTGACTTGCGGACATTCTGTTCATTGATTCATTGACCCCTGTTTCCGAGCAATCTTATTTCCATTTTTTGTTATTATTATGGACGGGATGAGTAGATGGCACGGTTTGCTGTTTTGGTGCAAAAAAAAAAACAGAAAAAATGGACTTAAGCATCGTCACATGCTGATGGCTATGCTCATAAAACTTAAAAAAACCTCTTGAAATTAGTCATGATTCATATGAAAAGAAATGAAAAAAATAACAAACACCCTGGCCTTTTTAAAAACAGGCAGATAAGGTCATAAAATATACCCAAGTGGCCACCAGTCGACTACATAACTACATATGTTTTGTAAGTAAGAATATTGTGTGTGTGTGTAATGAAGTGAAGATATGTGTTGTATTTTGTCGTGTGGTGTAGTGTGTCGAACTACTACGGCTGACAGGAAGACCGACCAGCTACTTTGGAATTTGTATGGGGTTCTGCTACCGTTTTTTATTTCCTCTCTCTCCCAGTACACTTACTCTAAAGGGGGAGGGAGGAACTGTAAGGTGTAATAGTTAGCAAAGTCAATAGCATAGATTTTGTAAGGTTACCTCATTGTCAGTTTGCCGACCAACCACCACCTTTCAAGCTTTGGTGTTGTTGTTGCCAACAATTGTTACAGTACAGGTTATTACCTGTCATTACAGTTCTAGTGGGCAATGTTGGTGGGGAAGTTATTCAACTTCCGCAAAGTTTAATGACAAAGTAAGAGAAATGCTTATTATTGTACTTAATTAAAATTAAATCTTATTCCGGATACTATTAAAGATAATATGATAAACCAGTGAGTAATAATGCATTTTTCCAACGGAAAGCCTAAATGTTCTATTTCCTATAGAAATAGAACATTTTTACAGAAAAAATTCTCATTACAACTGTGGATTTTGATTTTTTTGAAAAAAAAAAATCCTCACCTGTGGAGTCTTTCTTCTGCAGAAAAATTCCCCAGACCCCCAGTACACAGAAAAAAATAATTCTTATATTATATGAATAGTATTCTGAAAGTGTTGACAATATCCGGATTTCTGTTTTTTATTAATACAAATCATAAAACTTTAAATACAGATTTCTTGTTAGGGAAAAGAAAACCGCAACTTTGGAGTTGTGTTTGGTGGTGCGGTCTTATAAGGCACAGATACTATTTGACGTTTTGATTTCTCTATTTGGATTTTATTTATTTATTTTTTTTTTGTCTCGATTTTTTTTACTTACCTACATATTCTTGTTTTGACATCATATACAGTGATTAACTTTCAGTTGAGCTCGTTGCTCGTATCAACTCTTATTTGTTATATTTTATTTGACATTTATATCGAAATAATTTGGAAAATACATATGCGAATTTTATAACACTAAAACAGAGGACGGTAACAGTGTCGGAAATAAAGAAACAACGGAATGCAAAACTAGCCACGATCGAGTGATTGGAGAGACCGCGGTTGTAAACAAGAGAAACAGTTGCAAAACTAACAACCATCGAAATAATTTGGAAATTACATATGCGAATTTTATAACACCAAAACAGAGGTCGGTAACAGTGTCGGAAATAAAGAAACAACGAAATGCAAAACTAGCAGTCGAGTGACTGAGAAACAGTTGCAAAACTAACAACCTTCAAGTGAAGGGAGAGACAGAGGACGATGCCAAACCCAAACACATCCGAATAATAACTGGTAGTGACTTTTTTCTTGGGAGAAATACATTTGTTTTTGTCAAAAGAGAGAGATGAAAAAGTTAACAAAATAGAGTGAATTATGAAAATAGTTTTTATATTAATGAAATATTTACATTATTAAAAAAAATAGTGACTTTCTCATGATTATAAAAATTTTTTGTTGTATCCTAAGCACTATGGAAAAAATAAACAATGAATGAAATTATGAAAATATGCATTAACATTATTTTTTTGTGTAAATCGTTTTCTGCAGAAAAAAATTCTCAGGATCCTGTGAATTCTTTTTCTATAGAAAAAAATTCTCAGGCCACCTGGCGATTCATATTTATATAGAAACATATTAACAGACCGCTTCAGGATCCTTTTTTATAAAAGAAAATCTCCGGACCTCATTATGATGCTTTTTATACCTTCAGCCTTATGGCTAAAGAGGGTATAAACACTTTGATACGGTGAAAATGTGCCTCATCGAAATATTGGTTTTAGACCCCATGTTTCTTCGAACCAACTTAGTTTCAGAATATTTCGATTCTATTTACACATGTCCATCCATCGGTCCGTATGTCTGTCAGGCTGATTGGTGCGCACGATAACTCTCGAAGGGAATTATCGATTTCATCCAAACTTTGCACATATTAATATTTCTTTGCACATATAATATTTTCTTAGTTTATGGGGAAGATGGGGAATATCGGTGGTAACTCCCCCACTCCTTCTGGCACATATAATATTTTAATGGGGAATATCGGTCCTCTCCTTCTGTTAACTCCCCCACAAAATGGTCAAAATTGTGCAAAATATTAATTTTATAATAACATGCAAATGGATTATCCGATTTTATCGAAACTTTGTACAAACTATTATCTTTACCAGGCCTATATCAAGTAGGAAAATTGAATCCATTGGTCCACTCCTTCTGGTACCTCCCCCACAGAGGGTCAACATTCCAATATTAGGCGAATGGAATGTCCGTTTTGAACCAAACTTTTCACAACCTGTTATATTTACCAAGTCTATATTAAGTCTAAAGATGGCGTCCATTGGTCTACTCCTTCTGGTATCTCCCACATATATGGTCAATATTTATAAATTCAATATCAGGCGAATGGAATGCCCGATTTAAACCAAATTTTGCACAGCCTATTATCTTTACCAAACCTAGATCAAGTCCGAATGTGGTACCCGTCTGCCCTCTCCTCGGGTATATCCTACAAAAAGGTTCAACATAAAATCCGAAATATATTTAATTAAACATCTATCCTATATAAAACGAATAATAAAACATGTGTATAACTCCAAAGACCTCCTCCGCAAACCATCTGTCGGCAACATCGACTGACACTTTTTTACTTGTTGTATAAAAAATCCTCAGGCTGCCTGTGGATTCTTTTTATATAGAAGAAGATTATTTTTTATTGGAAAAAGATCTCACGTTCTCTTCTTTGTGTAGAAGAAAATCCCCGGCCCCATTAGGATTATTTTTTATAGAAGAAAATCCTCAGAAAAAAATCCTGATGTACTTCTCTGCAAACAATTATAAATAAAGGTTTTTGTTGAACATAGTCCCAATATAAAAGTCGCACCCAATCTCTGTATTCGAAAGGTTTTATCTGCATTTCGCATTGAAGTAGCTGTAATTTAGAAATTCAGGTTATAGTAGGTTAAAAACATATTTTGGAATTTTTCGATATATGTCCACGTTTTGATATAGCCACCATATTAAGAAGGTATTTACCCATGTATTTACCCACATCTTTAAAGTATCGTAATACTATCCATTCTAAATCGATATGATAAAAGAAACCCTGAAATAGGGTTTAATATGTTGTATTAGCGATTCAATATAGTAAATACCAAAATAAATACCCACAAAGCCAACTAGAAATTTCCACATCCCAAAAAAAAATGTTGCATATTGTTATTGACTCATGATGTGTCTATGATGTTTTCCTCCAAAATTTATGTTATTAAATAATTTGTTGCAATAACTTCACATGATCTCCCGCTAATTACTTACAATTTAATATCTCTATTTCCTTCGACCCACCCCAATACACACTTTTAATGTAATAAACATTACTTTATGTTGGCATTTAATAAATAGGCAAATTAAACGAAATAAATAAAAAAGAAAACCGCTATATAAGAAAGCGATAATTGAGGTATATTTTCTGTCATTTGCTTCACTTCATGACCCAATGACAAGATGAACTTCCTATTGTGGTGGTCACGCTCGTGGGGTACACATTAATGGCAGGGGTTTCTAGTAGTAATTCGGCGGTAATGATGATGGCGGTTGCATTAAGAAGACAAGCAACAGCAACAATAACAACAATTCATAGTTGTTATTTGCCTCTAATTTTGAGCGCTTAATGTGACACATACATCCACGAGGTTAAGGGGTCACAACAAATTTAATTGCAGAGGTTATGACTTCCACTCGCTTACACACACACGCACTCACTCAGTGATCATTGTGTTTGTTTGAGGCATCTAGGAAGTTGTGGAAGATGTTAAGCCGATCATCACTTGCTATGCTAATTAAATTATAATTTGTCATTGCCTAACCTTTATTATTCATTTATGTGTTTCTCTTTTTTTATTGTTATTGTTGTTGTAGTTGGTTTTGTAACTCAATTTTAATTTGTTGCTTCATTTCTCTTTAACAGGGTACCCCTACGGCACGCATTACATTAACCGCCCAAGGTCATAATGTTGAGTTACCCGATATTGAAGAACGCGGCATACGTTTGGTCGATGGACCTACACCACTCGAAGGCAGATTGGAGATCTTCCATAAGGGAGCATGGCGGGCAGTGTGCACAAATTCCAGGAAGTAAGTTGGACAATTGAAATTCAATTAAATTAAAAAATATTACCCATCGATTTTTAAAGAACAAATGTTCAAGGACAATTAGATGCGTTTATTTTTTAAAGAATATTTTTCAGGGTATAAAAGAGGCGTGGATTTATTAAAGAATATTTTTTCAGGGTCTTCAAGAATCGTGGATTTTTAAAGATTAGTTTTTCAGGGTCTATTAGAGGCGTGGAATTTTAAAGAATAGTTTTTCAGGGTCTATTAGAGGCGTGGATTTTTAAATAATAGTTTTTCAGGTTCTATTCGAGGGGTGGATTTTTAAAGAATAGTTTTTCAGGGTCTATTAGAAGCGGCTCTATAAAAGGCGTAGATTTTATAAAGAATATTTTTTTTCAAGGCTCTATAAAAGGCGTAGATTTTATAAAGAATATTTTTTTTTCAAGGCTCTATAAAAGGCGTAGATTTTATAAAAAATATTTATTCAAGGCTATATACAAGGCGTAGATTTTATAAAGAATATTTTTTCAAGGCTCTATACAAGGCGTAGATTTTATAAAGAATATTTTTTCAAGGCTCTATACAAGGCGTAGATTTTATAAAGAATATTTTTTCAAGGCTCTATACAAGGCGTAGATTTTATAAAGAATATTTTTTCAAGGCTCTATACAAGGCGTAGATTTTATAAAGAATATTTTTTCAAGGCTCTATACAAGGCGTGGATTTTATAAAGAATATTTTTTCAAGGCTCTATACAAGGCGTAGATTTTATAAAGAATATTTTTTCAAGGCTCTATACAAGGCGTAGATTTTATAAAGAATATTTTTTCAAGGTGTTCGAAAAAAAATAATCACCTCCCTTCTTACTTTCTTTTCAGCTGGACAATGACCGATTATGCGGTGGCCTGTCGTCAAATGGGTTTCCAGGGTGGACGTTTTTGGAATTGGGTTGATCGTAGCCCTGGGCAGAAACCACGTTTGCTCTACGAACTGCCTAACTGTAAGGGTACGGAAAATTCTCTACTCGATTGTGAGTGGTCCACAAGGCAGCTGGGATCCGGAGTTTGTGATTATCACAGTGATATTGGTATACAATGTAAACCCATGCACAGTCTGCAGTTGAGCCATTGGGCGGGTTTGTATTTTGAAAATGCCCCCACCACGAAATCATTGGCCAAAGACAACACAATTTATTATACCCGATCGCAATCCACCTTGAAATATGTGGATATTCTACGAGCAGGAAATGGTTATAAACAATCCGCAAAATCTGCCATAGAAGCTGTGGGTGTGCCTCCCCAAACCCAACATGTGGTGATTACCCATTCCGCTTATACCGGGTTTAATGCGACCCGCCCTTATGGTGGCTTTGTAATGCAAAATGTTACCGTGCGGAAAAGTAATGGCATTGGGGTATTCGTAAATTCCAGTCAGGGCTATGTCCAGCTGAATGGATGCAATGTGCAGGATAATGCAGCGGATGGTGTGAAATATGTCGGCCATGATTTGAGAGTGGACGAGCGTCCGGATAGATCTTCGATTTATGACTTTTGTACTTTGCCTACCACATCGGGGCAGACATATCCCTTGACTCTGTCTTTTACCCAAAAATTTTATGCCGGTTCCGCAAAGGAGTGTTCGAAGTATTTTTTCTCAAAGCCCGGTTATGTCCTCACCGTGCAATTTGAACAATTTACGCTGAAGAATAATGACACCGCCACTGTGGAAATTTACGATGGAGCCTCGGCCAATGATCGCCTGCTGTTCGCATGGAGTGCTAGAAATTATACCAGGCCCCAGAGTGTCACGAGTACAAAAGAGAAGTTGTTTGTGCGGATTAAGGCTGCAATGAGGGAAGAGATTTTGGGTTTTCTACGCATCACCACCGGCGAGTCGAGTGCCTTTGATTTGAGGGTGGCGGATTCAGTGGTCCAGGATAATGGTGGTCGTGGTATTGCTGTGGATGGTATACGTTCCAGAGTACATCTGCATGGTAGTTCGATATCGGGTAATGGCCATGTGGCTGGGTTCCATGTGACCAGTGGAGCTGGTGATGTAAATATCACCGAGACCAACATCAGCTATAATCGAGGTGCGGGTGTTAATATAACCTATGTTGGAGGCAATCGTAATATCTCCCGAAGTTATGTGGATTTCAATCGAGGCTATGGTATAGCGGTGTGGCTAAATGAAACCAACGATCCCAATCGTGTGGAATATATTGCCAATAATCAAACCACTACGGTGGAGTACAGTCACATCAATTCCAATTTGGAGGTGGGGGTACTGCACGGTAACTTCTGCCGACCGATGTGGGTGAATTTGACGGGTAACTTTTTCAATGGCAGTGCGGGTAATGATGTTCGCCTGGAAAGCTGTTGGAGATTGCTGGACAGCAAGGAACCGAATATGTTCCTGCAAATTGGCCATAACTCGTTTGAGAATAGTCAACAGAATTCGGTGTATCTTAGCCCCGCCTTGAATATGCGTGGACGCATTGAATTCAATCAGTTCCGCTATGGCCAATATGGGTGTATTTATATCAAAAATGATTTCATATATCAGGAATTTAATTTTATGCCGGTCCATTTGGTTATCCAGAGTAATTATTTCAGTCGGAACAAGGGGGTACATGTGGTGTCATTGGGTCTCTCACCCTATAGCCGAAGGGAGGTACAACATTTATTGTTCACGAGGAATTTTGTAAAGGAGAATAAAATTACGGAATTCTTTGGCCCCCTGCTAGATGGTAGTGAGGGTTCGGATGGTGCTGGTCGCCTAAATCCTCGATCTCGGGTGGCAGCTGCTGTGGTGGTTAGTTCCAGTAATGTGGATATATTCCGGAATATTTTAAATAACCTCGATTCCGCCTATGAAATTGGTTCCCAGCTGAATGATCAAAGTCAGATTATAAATGCCACCTATAATTGGTTGGGTTCATCGGAGGAGGTGAAAATATTCTCCAGGCTCTTCCATCGCAATGATCGTTACAATTTGGCCAAGATCCAGTATATCCCTTACCTGCTGCATAGCTCCAATCCTGGTTCAACTACGGTAATTTACACTTCGACTTTTGTGCCGCGGTTTTATGTGGAAAATTCCGAATATATTGGAGGTGAGGTGGATGGCCAGGAAATGATTCCACCCGGGACATATACGGTTAATAAGGATATCAATATTCGTCCGGGAGGTAAATTGATTTTACAACCTGGTGTGACGTTGCAATTTGAACCCAGTGTGGGTATGATGGTGGCAGGGAAATTGGAGGCACGTGGCCGGCGTCCTGATGATATTTTCCTAACCCTCAAAAGGCAACCTATTATGGATGTGGACAGCTCCACCTTGGATCATGAGTTGATTGATATGATCGATATGGAAACGGAATCGATTATGAAGGTGGATGAAGAACCCAAGGTCCCGGTAAGGCTACTGGGTGGTGCCGGACCCTATGAAGGTCGGCTGCAGTTATATGTCAATGGTCGCTGGGGTACAGTGTGTGATTATGGTTGGACGGAACTGAATGCGGCCCTGGTGTGTCACCATTTGGGATATACCCTAAATCCTAAAGATTGGCGTTTGCTGAGGTCCCAAATGCCGGCAGTGGGTTTAACGGAAGATGTGATTGTCTCCAATGTCCAGTGTACCGAACATGATCGTGACATTACCAAATGTAAAGCGGAATATTTGTGGCAGGGTGATTTTGAAAATTCCTGTAGCCATGAAAATGATGTGGGTATACGCTGCTATGAGGGAGCATGGGCTGGGGTACGTTTCAGTATGCTGGCGGAACGGGCGGATTTACAATATGTGACTATTGAGAAGGCTGGATTGTTTGATTATACCACGAACTCCTTTAAGCCTGCCCTGCAAATGGATTTTGCCCGCCATAATTTGGATAATGTGCGGATTGTGGATAATCTCGATGATGGCTTGGGTGTGATATATGCCGATCTATATGGTGGCAAGGCGATAAATAATATTCGGAACTCGGAGTTTGTGGGTAATCGTGGTAGCGGTATAAGTTTGAAACAATTGGATTTCAGGATACAGGGGTCAATTATTAAAAATAATTTGGGTAGTGGTATATCCCATGATCCCGTCATTGCGGCCAAGGATCAATTTGAATTGGGTGGTTGGTTTAAAATGGCTGTGGATTTTAATACCTTCGAATCGAATTATGAGCCATATGTTTTGCCCCGGGATGAAGGTAACATCGAATTGGGCACCTGGGAAAGTAAATATATAAGGACCGAGGAAGTAATGCAAGGAGGTGCAGGAGGAAATGTGGAGAGGAAATTACACATCAGATGTCCGGCGGGTTATGTATTGGGTATCCAACTGCTAAATCCCATAAATAACCTCTCCACGGAATCTTTGAAAATTCTGAATTCCCAATCGGAAAACCCCCGAGCACAAATGTGGGATGTCAAGCGGGATCTGAATGTATTTCCCACCACCAGTAGCGGTTATGGTATCATCATTTATTATGAAAGCGGTGATAATGCCCTAGGCGGAGCAGTGCTCATGGTGACCACCGTCCAAGCGCCCATACAAAATATACGCAATCGCATTGTTGGCGGACCCGTACCCTCATTGCACATACGTTCGACAAAAATACAAAAGAATCTGCGCGGCATATCGGCCTTGTACTACAATCGCTACTATGGCAGCCAGGGAGAGCTGTATATGCGCAAGGCCAATGAGTCCATAAAAATTGTCAACAGTGAAATAAGCAACAATGATCTGGAGGCCATCCTTATCAATTCTCCCTACTGGGATGTGATTAGCAGTAATCTTTCAGAGATCACCCTGCATGTGAATAATTCGAAAATCCTACAAAATGGTTATGGCCTGAGGCAATTGTCGAAGGATTTGCGTTCCTCGAATAATTTGTTCCATTATGTGATCCAGGATACCACGGTGGAGGATAATAAAAATGGTGGCTTCCAGGTATCGCTACCTTATGTTTGGCAATACAATGAGAATTTTACCCATAGCATACATTTTGGCAACACGACCTGGCAAAGGAATCGGAATTTCTATATCGACGTGTCGGGGCATTATGCCGATTTCAATATAACCTCAAATGCCTTCTTGAATAATCAGGCCCCTAGAAGCCTAATTTCGGTGATGGGTATGGAAAAGAGAATGAAATTCAGCTACAATCGCATCGAACAGAATCAGGCCAAGTTTATTATGGAATTTAAGGCCGACAGCTTAATTGAGAAATTTGGTGAGGTCCACGCACTTGTGGAATATAATACCATTAAGCAAAATAACAATTATGAGGGTTTGAGGCATTTACCCGCGCTCAAGCATGCACGCAGACAGGCCACCCTGAATTCCCTAAACACCGCAGTTATACGCCTGGATGGCATACAAAATGTACGCCTCTATCGGAATCTTATTTCGGAGAATAGTTTGAGATATAATCTAGTGGCTGGTTTGAGATCCGCTCGAGTAGACAACTATGTCTATGCCACCGAGAATTGGTGGGGCTCCACAGAAATTTCACAAATTGAGTCGAAGATTTTCGATTTTGATAACTGGAATGATCATGCGGATGTGATTTATCAGCCCTTCCTTATCGAAGACACCATGGATGCCAGTATTTCTTTGGTCAAGGAAAATCGGGATCTCATCGATCTGAACAACTGGCAGGGTGGACGTATTTACAGCGATTTGACTCTACGGAAACGTGAGCAACCCTATTTGATACGCAACGATATTACGATTATGCCCGAGGCCACCCTGACCATACAACATGGTGTACAAATGGAATTTGAAACGAATGTCGGAATGCTGGTCCTAGGAACCCTTAATGCCATTGGTTATGAGGAATCTCCCATTGTTATGAAACCCTTTAAAAATGCCACCCATGAATCGTATTCCCTGATCAACAAACGTGCCCTTGAAATGGAAATGGAACAGCTGCAGACCTATGACTCCATACGTCTCTGCACCAATTCCCAAAATTGCAGTTCCGATATGGATAAAATGTTCGAAATTAATCAAGGATTTTTGGAATACTTCAACCACACCACCCTGCAATGGGTGCCGATATGTGATAGCCGCTTTACGGAACGTAATGCCCAGGTGGTGTGTCGAGAATTGGGCTATGACCCACTCAATGTCTACTACAGTCATGATCGGCGTATTGAATTCCATACCAATTCTCTTACACGAATTTGGACCTGGGTCCAACCTTTGGAATGTCGTGGCGACGAACTGCGTATGTCAGATTGTGAAGAGCGACTCAATGGCCAGGTCTATGGGCATCGTCATGAATGCCATTGGGATGATGTGTTCGTCTTTGTTAGCTGCAAGGGGGTACCCGAAGATGAGGTCTACTGGGGTGGATTACGTTTCAGTAATTCGGAATTTGAGCAGAATCAATATGAACAACGTTATCATGACATACACACCCATGGTCAGCAGAAGAATCAGCAAAGTCGTCTGGAATTTGTGAGAATCGAAAATGCCGGAATCCTGCACAATCAAAAATCGGCAGCCATTCAGGCGATCTACAAAACACCCTCCATATCGGCGGTAACCATACGTAACTCGGCCAATCATGGTCTGAACTTTGTGGTACCCTCAGGAGCCCTGAACCTCAATCTCCTTAACCTCTCCCAAGCCTTGGGTTCCGGCATTAATATTCTCTCCCTTACCGGTGAGGGGCGGGAAAGTGATGAATCGAGTTTCACACCTCTAAAGAAATTGGACATACCCTATAAACTGTTCTCCATGATTGATATATGCGATCCCCAGAAAGCCATCATTGTGGAAGAGAGGGTTCTACTCTACTATAAATATGACAATAATCCCGTAAATTGTGTCAAAATGTTTACCTCTGCCTATCGTGCTAAGCCTTTGGGATTCCGTTTACTGCAATCGAATCTGTTCAATCATTCCAAGCTATATGGGCGCATGGATTCCATACGCCTCTATGACGGCGATGTCTATAATGTCACCTCCTTATTTATGGGCCAGATTGAATCGGATACCAATAATCAAAAGTCATTCTTTAAGACTGAAGGTCCCACGCTAAGTGTTCATTTAATGGCCAGTGGTGCTCCAGAATATCATGGATTTATAGCCGAGGTGGTCACGGTGCCCATATCGACAATTGGTATAAGTGAGTATTCTGAATGAATTTTTATGAAATCGAATTCTATTAATATTCCGATTTTTTTGTCCTCAGATCGCGATGCTTTACACAACATAACCAATTCGCATATAAGTGGAGCCATTAAAGGTGCTGTAGTCTATACATCGGCTGGTGAAGTTACACCCACCTTAACATTGACCTCCAATCGCATTCAGGCGAATTGTTTGCAGTTATATGGCAATTTTTCTACTTGCGATGCTGCCCTGCATGTTGATGTCCAGAATATGAATTCATTTTTCTTTATGGTAAGGAATATTAATTTGAACCTTTAAGGCTATAAAAATAAATTTAATATTTAGAGGAGATCTTCTTCATTTAGAAGAGGTATACAACCATCAGAGCTCTTCTCTACCTCCTCACAGAGGTCACTTGTTCGTAATAAATGTACTTCTATCTTCAGAAAACCTTTCTCGCCTTCCTCTTCAAGGAGCTAGAAATCTCCCTAGGATATCTATAGGATGCCTTCTGTCACAGAATGTCGAAGTCTACCTAGAACCTCTTTGAGATGAGATGAAAAGACTTTATTTGAACAATACTTTCTGAGGTCTAAGTTTCGAATGCCTCCACATGGAAATTAAATACCAAATAGAACTTGAAAAAATTTTCTTAAAAAAAAATTCACGCCTCTTATAGACCCTGAAAAAAATATTCTTTAAAAAAAATCACGCCTCTTATAGACCCTGAAAAAAAATATTCTTAAAAAAAATTCTCGCCTCTTTTAGACCCTGAAAAAAATATTCTATAAAAAATCCACGCCTCTTATAGACCCTGAAAAAAATATTCTTTAAAAAATCCACGCCTCTTATAGACCCTGAAAAAAACATTTTTTAAAAAAATCCACGTCTCTTATAGACCCTGAAAAAAAAATATTCTTTAAAAAAATCCACCACACTTATAGACCCTGAAAAAAAAGTTCTTTAAAAAAATCCACGCCTCTTATAGACCCTGAAAAAATATTCTTTAAAAAAATCCACGTCTCTTATAGACCCTGAAAAAAATATTCTTTAAAAAAATCCACGCCTCTTATAGACCCTGAAAAAATATTCTTTAAAAAAATCCACGCCTCTTATAGACCCTGAAAAAATATTCTTTAAAAAAATCCACGCCTCTTATAGACCCTGAAAAAATATTCCTTAAAAAATCCACGCCTATTATAGAGCTTGAAAAAATAATCGTTAAAAAATCAACGATGCTGGAAGATTTTGAAAAAATATTCTTTAAAAAATCCACATTTTTAGAATTCCTTGAAAAATACTCTTCATATATCCTCAAATAATTTCCTCTTTTTCCCTTTTCCAGAACAATCTACTACTTGACAATCAAGGTGGCCTTAAATTGCGTGCTGATTCTCGCGGCTCTGCAACATCACTACGCGGCTTTATACATCACAATCTTTTCCTGAAGAATCGTAATCGCCCTGCCCTCTTTGTGGAGGGTCGTCAATCGTCGCCGTATCAAGAAGTTGAATTATACCGAAATTATTTTGCACAAAATCACGCCGGTTACGAGGATGTTATACGTCTCCGGCAGGTTGTCTCGAATTTCAGTTATAATTATGTACATAGTAATGTGGGTGGTCGGATAGTGGAGGTATCGGGCTTTGAAAAGGTCCGATTGCCGATTTATCAGAGTACGGCACACAATGGATTTTATAGGTGAGTGGGGGGAGAGAGGGAGACGTTTTTCAGGAAAATATTTCTAATTGAATTCTTTGTGTATTTCAGGAACACTGCCACAAATTGGATGGGCCGAGCCACAATTGTTGCTGGCACAGCCGGCCAGCAGTATGTTGATAATATTTTCGAGAATCCCGATAATGATTATGAAATTATTACCGTCAATAGTTCCATGTAAGTTCCAAAACATTTTTATAATTCATTCAACTCATTTCAGGCATCAAATCATGGATCATGCCCATTTGCATTCAGCGAAAATTGTGACCGCATTAAAATTAGTACAGACAACCACCCCGTCGGAACTACATTACATCGTTACTGACAGACGACGTTAGATGACCTTCATTGAACGAGTATTCAGACTACCATCAATACAATATATAGACGATATTCTGATACAATGATGGGATCTAAATCTTATTTATCAGACCAATAATGAATATGTTATTTTAATTTTTTTGACTAAATCGAACTATCATCCCATCTACATTTCATTTTCCTCACTTTCAATTTTCATTTACTCTCATCTGCATCTTGAACTTCGACACTAACTTATGGCATGTTTTATTTATTTGTTTGAAATCTAATTTCTTTTTTGTTTCTTATATTTTTTACTTTTAAATATTCTACTTACACCTAACTCAAAACCTCCTGCATGACTTATAACTGTAGCTTGAGTATTGACTACCGAAACAGGTAAACATAGATATAACCATAACTTAAATAGCCTCGCCTTTTGTTATAATTTTCAAAATTATTGATATTAATTTAAAATATTTTATTCCGAATTGTGTAGCACCATTGAATTGTGGAAATCGAAAATTGATGCCCGTCACAACTATTGGAGTTACAATAATACGCTATCGGTGCAGTCAAGGATTAAAGATAAGACAGGTGAGTAAAATTATCTACGGTTAGCGGTAAAATCCAAACATTTTGAAGTCCTTAAAGAAATATTCTTAAAAAAATTCACGCTTGTAAAAATAAACTCTAGAAAATCTTTGAACAAATATTCTTAAAAAAACCAAAGTCCTTGAAAAAAATCTATAAAAACCAGACCTCTGGAAAACCTAAAAAAGTTTTACACAAGGCATTCGATAGCAAAGGCACAATGCAAAATGTAGTGTAATCGATCACCGGATGTTAACGTCAATTCACCACTGATGGTTCATGTCTACGCTACCAACATGAACAGTGCCATCTACAGGCAGTTTGGAATACGATGTAATTTGATACGATTTTGATAGATCTCTCATAAATATCCTACTGGCCTTGAAACAATATTCATTCACAAATCTACGCCTTTAGTAGACCTTGAAAAAATATTATTTGGCAAATCCACGCATCATAAAGTCTGAGATAAAATATTCTTTAAAAAGCCACGCCTTTAGAAGACCTCGAAAAATATTCTTTAAATAATCGACGCCTTTAGAAGACCTCGAAAATATTCTTTAAAACATCCAAGACCTCGAAAAATATTCATTAAAAAATCCACGCTTCAAGAAATCCCTGAAAAAATATTCTTTAAAAAATCCACGCCCTTAGAAGAGCTAGAAAAATATTCTTTGAAAAATCCACGTCTTTAGAAGACCTTGAAAAAATATTCTATAAAGAATCTTAGCCTTTAGCAGACGTTGAAAAAATATTCCCTTAAAAAATCCACGCACTTAGAAGAACTAGAAAAATATTGTTTGAAAAATCCACGCATTTAGAAGACCTTAAAAAAATATTCTATAAAGTGTCTTAGCCTTTAGCAGACCTTGACAAAATATTCTTTAAAAAATCTATGCTCTTAGAAGAGGTAGAAAAATATTCTTTAAAAAAATCCACGTCTTTAGAAGAAAAAATATTCTTTAAACGACCTTAGAGTACCTAACAAAATATTCTTTGAAAAATCCACGCCTTTAGAAGACCTTGACAAAATGTTCTAAAAGATATATTCTAAAAAAAATATTCTTTAAAAAATCCTCGCCTTTGAAGACTAGAAAAATATTCTTTAAAAAATACACGCCTTGGATAGGCCTTGAAAAAATATTCTTTAAAAAGTCCACACGTTTAGAAACGACTTTAGAAGACACAGAAAAAATATCCTTTAAAAAATCCACGACCTAGAAATAATATTCTTCAAAAATCCACCCCTTTAGAAGACCTAGAAATAATATTCTTCAAAAATCCACCCCTTTAGAAGACCTAGAAAAATATTATTTTAAGAAACCACGCTTTCAGAAGACCCAGAAAAATATTCTTTAAAAAATCCACACTTCAAGAAGACCTAGAAAAAAATATTCTTTAAAAAATCAGCGACTTTAGACGTCATTGAAAAATATTCTTTAAAAAATGGTCGCCTTTATAAGTCATCTCTTGGAAGTCCTTGAAAAAAATTTTCTTTAAAAATCCACGACTCTGAATGTCCTTTAAAAATATTCTTAAAAAAATCTAAGTCCCCAGAAGACCTTAAACATAATCAAACCACCCAAAGACCTTGAAAATTTTCGTAAAAACGACAAAATTCTTTTCCTAGAAAAGGTTGAAAATTAGTTCTTACAAAATCGAAGCTTAGAATTTGTCTAGTCCCTGAAAAAAAATACGTCTCTAGAAGTCCTTACTATAGGGGATTATAAGATATCAATCAAATTCGTATTACATCGTAGTTTATTTATGCTGCAACTACATGACGCTGCTCTTGTTGTTGATGTATACGCGAACAAGTGGTTCATTTCCGTTTTAATCCGGCGATCGATATCAGGGACACTAACCAGAGAGATGTTAGCGATCACAGGGTGCTTACTACTACTCACCTCTTGTGGTTCGTCTCTTCGCTACAGACACATACAACGGCACCTAGCGGCAAATTGAACTACAATGTAATTTAATCCGATTTTAATCAATCTCTTATAACTCCCCTACTGACTTCTACATTTCAATAACTTCGAGAGGCATAATTTTTTCAGGGACTAGAAAAATTACAATCTTCGATCGATTGACTTTTTCATGATTATTTTTCAATGTCTTCCGGATTATTAGGAAATATTTTTTGTAAGGACTTTTAGAGGCGCGGGTTTTTAGAGTCTAGTCATTTTCATAGGGGCTAGTCATTGAATACATATTCTTAAAAAATTTTTAATTATTAAATTCTAATTTCTTTTCAATTTCCTTCAGATGACCCCTTGCTATTGGAAGTCTTGGCCGTACCCTTCCTAATGAACAATCAAACTGTGTTGGATGGTAAATGTCCACCGGGATGGTCACAAGTCTCGGATACATGTTTTATGTATGTCGGTGTGCCGATGACATTCCACGAAGCCAAAGAATTTTGTCGATCGGAAAATTCGTCAATGCCTTTTATCAGGACAGATAGTACCACCCTGTGGATTTATTTGCAGAGTCAAATGAGACATTTGAAGTAAGTATACGGTATTTTTGAAATTCCATCAAATACTAATTGTCCGATTTGTTTTTTCCTAAAGATATCCTGAAAAGGTTTGGGTCCAGGATTTCAATTATATTGATCGTTGCACCAGTTTTGCCTATATGGAAATAACCGTTGAGGAATGTAACAAGGAATTAGGTTTCATTTGTGAGGTGGATCCAAAGGTGAGTTTTGACTATTTTTTGTAAGTGAGGTTAGAGTGAAGTTGTAATTTATTTTGTTTTATCTTTTCAGGTGGTTATTGATCCCTTGTCCTGGCGTGCTGACATCTTTGCCATTAGCATTATTTCCGCCTTTATATTGGCCTTGATTCTATTGATTTTGGTCGGCATCTGCTGGTATGCCAAGTCCAAACATCGCCATGCCCAAAGATTGCAGCGCCGCAATAGTATACGCCAAAGTTTGCGCAGTTTGAATAGCATTGATCCCCAGGGTTCTTTGAGGAGAAGGAATTTTGTATGATTTTCTTAATTTTTTGGTTTTTTTTAAATTATTTTTTTATTTAATTTTTTTGTGTTTTGTTTTGCTTTTTTATTTTTTAATTTAGACGTCTACGGGTACCCTCACGAAAAGCATGGCCCAAGATTATAAAATGATGGGCAATGGCTCCTTTGAATCGATTGATAAAAGTGTTCTCAGCTCAGAGGCCAGTTTTGAGCCCTATGAAAATCATCGCCCCAATGGAGGCGGTGATAAATCGGAATATAATAGCCCACAAAAATCGCAAAATGAATACGTGACCAGTGTTCGCACTCCTGGTAGTACGTCTGGTTCTATGGGACCACCTCGTGTTGCCACCATCGGTTCAGCATCTAGGGCCCGGGGTCGAGCTACAGCTGCTGCTTTGGCAGCTGCGGCGGCCCAACAAAAACCTCCACAAAATGATTTTGAACTTTCCTATCGCAATGAAGGTTTCCGGGATAATTCCACCTATTCGGGGACACGAAATAATTCGATTAGTACAAGTATAGCAGAGGACACACCGATTATACATCAAACCGATGCTGAGGAGACAGGTTCAGATTATTATGGTAATGCCAGTACATTACCTCTACGCTATGATCCCAATGAGAATTTAGCTTTCCTTTCGGAACTAAAACGTAACATACCCGAAGATCAGCGGTCGAGTCAAATGTCCGATAAGCCACCTTCAACATTTTTACCGCCCACAATGGCTGCCGTTCATCATCAAAAGCAGCGGCCCGCAAAAACACCCTCCCCGACAACGAATCAAACCGCCTCGAGTAACAACTCGACAACGGGCAGTTTGACATACGAACAAAAAATCGACAATCTTAACTTCAGTTCTTTAGCCGAATTACGTAGCAATAATACTAGCCAAGTAAGTCCAACCACGGCGCCGGCAGATATTCGAAGGCCAGACTCATATATGGTGGCTGTGGGTGCCAATCGATTTTCAAGGCCAGCCTCATCGATAGGTGGGGGTGGAGGTGGTGGTAGTACACCCAAGTATGATACACCCACAATATCAATGGCCTCTCAGCTGGCTAGTAGAAGACCCAAAACGGTCTATGAAAATGGTGATTCGGCGGCCAGTTCAACGCTGCCCCACTCCCATCACCCACAGGATGGTTTTCCCGCCTATCATCGCTCCCGTTCTGAAGCTTTGCTAGAGACTGATTTAGATATGGATAATAGTCCGCCGCCAATGGATGCAAATGGCCGTTGCCATAGTCAGCCATTGGAAACCTCAATGTAAGAGAAACGGCTCTCAGCCAATATCGAAACGAAAAAAAATATTCCGGAGATTAGTTTTAAGTCGTATGGCAAGTTTAGTTAGCAATCACTAATGACGACAGATATTGACAATTCGTTGTGATCTCTTACATTTTGGAATATCTTATTTTCAATTGCAAATAATTTCAATTTGTTTATTATTTTTATATTTAAATAAAATTTAAATTTTTAATTTAGCATCACATTTTTATGTAATAAATTTCTTTTGTTATCATTTTTTCTGATTTAAAAAATTGTTAATTTTTTTTGTTTAAAAAAATTTCTTTTAGTTAAAAAATTAATATTTTATAGATAAAAAATGTCAAACTTTTGCAAACATTCCCTCCATTATTTTATAAGAATAAAATTTATATATTTTTAAATATAAAATTAAATGTATAAAACAAACAATATTTAAGAAAAAAGCAATGCATTATTTACAATAATTTAGTATTATTAATTTTTTAAAGTTTATTATATATAACATTTTTTGTATAAATGCCTTCATATACAAACATACACATATAAATTTCATGTAAATAAAAACAAATATTTAAGAAAATATAAAAAAATCTTTTTGTTTTTATTAAATTAATTGTGAGAGAGAAATCCCTGAAAAAAATATTCTTTAAAAAATCCACGCCTCTAAAAATCCTAGAGAAAATATTCCTTAAAAAACCCAACACTCTTTTAGTTCTTGAAACAACATTCTTTAGAAAAGGCACGCCTATTTTAGTCCTTAAAAAATATTCTTTAAAAAATCCACGCCTCTAAAAATCCTTGAAAAAATATTCTTATATTCCTTGGTCCTTAAAAAAATATTATTTAAAAAATCCACGCCTCTAAAAATCCTTGAAAAAATATTCTTATATTCCTTGGTCCTTAAAAAAATATTCTTTAAAAAATCCACGCCTCTAAAAATCCTTGAAAAAATATTCTTATATTCCTTGGTCCTTAAAAAAATATTCTTTAAAAAATCCACGCCTCTAAAAATCCTTGAAAAAATATTCTTATATTCCTTGGTCCTTAAAAAAATATTCTTTAAAAAATCCACGCCTCTAAAAATCCTTGAAAAAATATTCTTATATTCCTTGGTCCTTAAAAAAATATTCTTTAAAAAATCCACGCCTCTAAAAATCCTTGAAAAATTATTCTTATATTCCTTGGTCCTTAAAAAAATATTCTTTAGAAAAGGCACGCTTATTTTAGTCCTTAAAAAATATTCTTTAAAAAATCCACGCCTCTAAAAGTCCTTGAAAAAATATTCTTTAAAAAATCCACGCCTCTAAAAATCCTTGAAAAAATATTCTTATATTCTTTGGTCCTTGAAAAAAGTATTCTTTAAAAAATCCACGCCTCTAAATATCCTTGAAAAAATATTCTTATATTCCACGCCTTGTAATGGTCCTTGAAAAAAGTATTCTTTAAAAAATCCACGCCTTGTAATGGTCCTTCAAAAAAATATTCTTTAAAAAATCCACGCCTTGTAATGGTCCTTCAAAAAAATATTCTTTAAAAAATCCACGCCTTGTAATGGTCCTTCAAAAAAATATTCTTTAAAAAATCCACGCCTTGTAAAATGGTCCTTGAAAAAATATTCTTTAAAAAATCCACGCCTTGTAAAATGGTCCTTGAAAAAATATTCTTTAAAAAATCCACGCCTTGTAAAATGGTCCTTGAAAAAATATTCTTTAAAAAATCCACGCCTTGTAAAATATTCTGGAAAAAATATTCTTTAAAAAATCCACGCCTTGATTGCCTTGCTACTTCAAAAATATTCTTTAAAAAATCCACGCCTTGATTTGGTCCTTGAAAAAATATTGTTTGAAAAATCCACGCCTTGATTTGGTCCTTGTAAAAATATTGTAATGGTCCTTCAAAAAAATATTCTTTAAAAAATCCACGCTTCGTAGCTTCAAAAAATATTCTTTAAAAAATCCACGCCTTTAAAATTTTTTTTAATATTATAAGCTCTTCGTTATTTTCTCAAAATTCTAAAAAATATTTTTAGTATTTTATTGAAAATATTGTGGGTAAACTAAAAACCTTATCCTTTCAAATGCTTTTTATTTCACATCAATCCGACCATTATTACCAGAGATACAGCCATTTTACAAATCAAGCCAACATCATACCACTGCAATTCAATAATTTGCATGCTCAAACAAAGACAGATCCTCTCCCCACCATCCACTTGAACAACAACAACACTACAATCAAAAGCAAACAACAACAACAGTATTTGCTATGAACATCTATCCTCCCATTACCACCCACTCAGTGACGCATAAGTTATGCGGCATAACAATATCACAGAGAGAGACCAGAGTACAAAACACATGTATACTCTCCAGTGTTGCCGTTTGAAAATTTTTTCCCGCCCAAAATTGCACCTTAAAAGTGCCCAAAATCAACAATTTATGCCCAAAAATTCGAGATTGAAGAAGTATACTCTGATATTATATATTAAAAGAGAGAGCATTTTTTCTCTACGTTTTTTAAATGCCGACAAATTAGAAAATAGCAAAAAATTGTTTTTATATAATAAAATATTTTGTTAATAAGAATTTGTACTTGTCACGTCAAAATGTCCCACATCGAAAGATTAGTTTTAGAATCTATTTACAAATGTTCGGAGATCAGGAATATCTAAGTTTGGAGATGAGGAATATCTAAGGCGAGCAGATTTCGACAATGAAAGTAGATGGCATCAAGAAAAAATTAAACAATATATGATGTTAAGAATAAAATTAAACATTTTAATTGGATTCAAAATGTACGTATTTTACAGAAAAAATATATATTGCTCTAATTAGGATGATAGATAGAGGACATCCAGTTTATAGATGACATGGAGGAAAAATATATGATTGTCTTCCAAAAGCTAGGACGTATGACCTACTTAGGAATATCGGACCAATCAGCATAAAGTCTCCACAAAATGGTTAAATTTTTGCTGGCAATTAATTTTATAATGTAATTTTAACCAAGCCTGTATAATATTGGGAAATGAGAGTTATCTTCTACTTATTCTAGTATCTCCCCAAGAAAGGGCCAATATTTGGAAATTTTGTAGATGTCATATGAAGCGAACGGAATATCCGGTTTCATCGAAACTTTGCACATTGTAATATTTTTACAAAGCCTAGATCAAGTTCGATGGGACGTAACGGTACATTTCTTCTGGTACCTCACCTACAAAGAGTCAACATTAAATTCGAATAGGGAGTCCATACAACTTCTTCAGGTACCTCCCTATTCTTTGATATTGCGACTTTAATATTTCTTTAAATACATTTTTAGGACAATTATCGGCTATATAGGTCCATCATCTGTTGTACTTCCCCCACATACAGTCAAAACTTTGCAAAATAATAAATTTAATCCAAAAAACTTAGACCCACTCAAACCATAGGTCTACGGCAAACACCGTTTAATTTGTATATGAATAACCTAAAATAAATTTAGGGGGTTGAGAAGAATCGATCCACTTTCCCTTAAAACATGATGGTCATAAATAAGGATAATGATCCATTTTATATTTGATTGCGCGATATTTTTGAACAATAATTCCCACATATGAGTATATACATCAATAATATTGGTATAAATTTAAAGATCAGCCGCTCCTCTTCCTTCCTTCCCTGTTCCTTTTTCGGAAATACATTTTGTCATTTTTCACACAAAAGTCTCCATATGATCCGCCAAATATTGGCCGATATTCATCAAAACATTCATGATTTTTTCCTTTGCAGATCCCCTTCCCCGTGTAAAATTTAGTATTGTTTGGGTCATAATAGTGATCTCTACACCGACCAGAAAAATTGACAAAAATAATGTTTTTGATCCATTTTATCCTCCAAATATTAACTGATCAACTACAACTTATAATGGGCAGACGGGCGGACAAAGATTTACTCAGCTGTTTGAGATTACGAATAGGTTTACTACAAGGCGGGTCTAGGGGTAATATTTCGCGGTTTTACAAACACGTGGGCCTATAATATACATCACAACATATTTTTTAGGGTAAATAAATATTTATTAAATATTTATTAAAACAAATATAAGCAATATTGATAAGACCGAAGCAAAAAATGCCCAAAATCCGCCCAGGCCATAAATTTCACAAATTTTATGCCCACTTTTGGGCATAAATGCCCACATTCGGCAACACTGATACTCTCCCATACTCAGTTATATTCTCCCCCAATGAAAACAGTTAACATCAATAGACAATAACAACTACATATGATTTTTGGCGCCTGCTTTGTGAGTCTCAAAGAATATTCTTGTTCTTACCTTTTGATCATGTCCACTTTGCATAAAGGGGTTGACATCTTTAACAACAAAAAAGCACACACACGCAAGAACATAAAATAACATACGCACGGACGCTCAATGAAAAATATTTTTTAAAAAAGGCGAAAATATAGAACCTCGAAAACACATCGAATTGAATACATTGAATATTTAGCGCACGATTTCGACAAGGAAACGAAATGGAAAACAGAAGGATATAAAAGATTGGACTACAACAAAACACGGTTATGACAAAACGACACACCATTTCTTTTCTTTATAAATACTTTACTAAATTCACTCGCGAAAGACGACCCACAAACTTGTTCCAACACAATTATAAAATATTTTTGCAAAACTAATATTGCAATTCGAATGAATTTTAAATGCAAAACGAAAATCCCGCAACCGCACTACCCGGCATTTAAAGAAGAACTGAAGTCGAGTAAATGCCGAGCACAATCACGGGGGCAGACGAATGGAGAGTTACCCCACTCTACCTAGGAAGAGAGACAATTGGCAAACTCCATTGAATTACGCACTCACACACAGAGCTGTTAGTGCGTAGGATGTCATGCAAAATTAGAGTTCCAATTAGAACTCCCAAAATTAAGGTATTGCAATTTACTACAACAGCAGTAATGATAATTTAGAGATTTTTTGTACGATTTCACTTTTTAA